TTCAGCTTCCATGAGTTTGTGTGTTTTCTGTTGTTTTTGTTGTTGATATCCAGCTTTAATCCATGGATGCAGGGAATTACAAATTTTTTTATATGTATTAAGACTTTCTTTGTGTCTGAGTAGGGAGTCAATCTTGGAGAATGTTCCATGAGGTTTAGAGAAGAAGGTATATTCTTTTGTGTTTGGGTGAAATGTTCTGTAAATATCTGTTAGGTCCATTTAGTCTATACCATCAGTTAGCGCCAGCATTTCTCTGTTAGTTTTTGTCTGGATGACCTGTTCATTGGTAAGAGTGGAGTATGGAAGTCTCCCACTCAGTGTGTGAGGGTCAATATGTGATTTAAACCATAGTAGTGTTTTTTTTTTCCCTTGGGCTTTTTTGTCTGGGTTATAGATGTTAGGAGTTGTAATGTTAAGTGGTGGATTTTTCCTTTGATGAGTATGCACTGTCCTTCCCCATCTCTTCTGATTAAGTTTGGATTGAAGTTGATTTTATCAGATTTTAAAATGGCTACACCAGCTTTTCTCTTCTGTCCATTTTGCTTGGAATATCTTTTTATGTCCTTTTACCCTGAGGTGATATCTATCCTGACGTTGAGGTGTTTCTTGGATGCTGCAGAAGGGTGGATCCTGTTTTTGCATCCATTCTGTTAGTCTGTGTGTTTTTATTGGAATTGAGTCCATGAAGACTGAGAAGTATCAGTAACCAATGATTGTCAATTCCTGTGATTTTGTTGTTGATGGTGGTAATGGGTGAGTGTGTGTGTGTGTGTGTGTGTGTGTGTGTGTGTGTGTGTGTGTGTTTCCCTTCTTTTGGTTTTACTGGTGTGAGATTATTTATTTCTTGTGTTTTCATGGGTACAGTTAGCCTCCTTACTTTGGAGTTTTCTAGCACTTTCTGTAGGACTGGACTATCTGTAGATAGATATTAAGTTTGGCTTTATCATGGAATATCTTGTTTTTTTTCAACTATGTTGATTGAAAGTTTTTCTGCTTATAGTAATTTGAGCTGGCATCTGTGGTCTTTTTTAATATACAGGACGTCTGTCCAAACCCTTCTGGCTTTTAGAATCTCCACTGAAGTTAGATGTAATTCTAATAGGTCTGCCTTTATATGCCACTTGCTCTTTTTTCCTTGCAGCTTTTCATATTCTTTAACTGTTCTAATTGTTTAGTGTTTTGATTGTTATGTGGCAAGGGGAATTTCTTTTCTGGTCCAATCTATTTGGTGTTCTGCAAGTTTCTTGTACCTTTATAGACATCTCTTTCTTAAGGTTAGGAAAATTTTCTTCTATGATTTTGTTAAAAATATTTTGTCTGGGATTCTTCTTTTGTTCCTATTATTCTTAAGTTTGGTCTTTCCATGCTGTCCCAGATATCCTGGATGATTTGTGTCAGAGATTTTTATATTTAACGTTTCTTTGACTGATGTATCCATTTCTTCTATCTTATCTTCAGTGCCTGAGATTCCCTCTTCCATCTCTTGTGTTCTGTTTGTGATGCTTGCTTCTGTAGTTTCTGCTCGAATTCCTATGTTTTTTTCATTCCCAGGATTCTCTCTGTGTGTTTTCTTTATTGCTTCTGTTTCCATTTTCAGGTCTTGAACAGTTTTCTTCATTTCCTGCCACTGTTTGTGTTTTCCTGGATTTCTTTAAGGGACTTATTCATTTCCTCTTTAAGGATCTCTTTCATCTCCATAAAATTTATTTTAGGTCTTTTTTGCTTGTGCTTTGTCTGTGTTGAAGTATGCGGGACCTCCTGTGGTGGGATGGCTCAGGCTCTGGTGCAGACATGTTGCCCTAACTGTTTTGATTGTGTATTTCCACTGACATCTGGGTTTGGGATGATTATAGGTCTAGGTGCTGATTTCTGGGATTGTCTTTGTTGGGTGGGTGTTATGTTCCTCAGTTTCTGTTTCCTCTCTGGATTTTCAGAGTGTGATGGCTCTGTGTTGCTTGAGTTACTGCACTGCTCAGCTAGTGTGTTTCACAAGGAATACTGTTGGTGTTAGGGGCTGGGATACTGCAAAACGGGTGTGGAGAGGATGATCTGTGAGATCCACAGAAGAGATGTAGCTGGTGATCTGTTGCAGTGCTAGGGACAAGACTTAGTGTCTGGGGTATTGTAGAGAGAAGAAAATGACTGTGGGCAGCCTACCTGTTTTTCTGGCTGGCATGGCCTGTGCTAATAATATTTTTAAGAGAATTATTGGTTCATCAGATGGGCTCCATGGGTAAACATGCTTTCTGCCAAGCCTGATGACCCAACTTAAGTTCCTGGGTCCCCACAGAATTGACTTCTGTAAGTTGTCCTTTGATCTACACACACACACACACACACACACACACACACACACACACACACACACAAATAAGTAAATACACAAATAAATAAACAAATGTAATATATGTAATAAAAAAACTTAACAAGAATTCTTATGTTTTTGGTTGTGAGCCTAGCCTTTAATGGGTGAGCCATCTCTCCAGCCCCTTAACAAGAATTCTTATAATCAAAGAGCAAGCTCAATCCCTCCAAAGACCGCCATGATGTGCCCATCCTATGGGTCTTCTACAAAATTACCTTGTCCTGTCGTCATCAAGAGAAGGGGCACATGTCTCTATTTGAGTCTGTGTCTCCCTTGGCCAGTAGGAATCAAGGCTCTAACTTCCCAGTTTGCATAACAAGATGATGTAACTTCTGCCTCAAGTGCAGGAGCCCAGACTTGGAGCTCTGAGCCACAGCACAAGAAGTCTGAGCACTTGGAGGCGATCATACCGGAGGGCCCACACATGCTGTTGGCAACTTAAACCCAAACAAGTCATGGTGTCTCTAGTCAATTCTAGTCGCCACTCTCCCTTGACCTAACGTCTTCCAAGAAGAGCTTCAAACATTCTACCTCCGTGGTTCTCAACCTTCCTAATGCTGCCCCCCCTTTAATACAGCTCCTCATGTTGTGGTGACCCCCCCCCCAGCCATAAAATTACCTCATTGCTATGTCATAACTGTAATGTTGGTACCATTAGGAATTGTTGTGTACCTAAGTCCCTACATCTCAGGGCGTCACTATGCACACACTGGAAGTGGGCTGAGAGCTAGGAAGAGGAACAGAGATAGGTGTGCCGATGTGTGGCAAAACAAATGTCGCCTAAAGTCTCTTGCAAGGCTAGATGAGAGTTCGTTACACACTTCCTTCAACTTCTCTGCATACTTGAATATTCTTATGACGGAAACTGCTAAGAGAGAAAGACGGGAACACTAGCTGGTACTAGTTAGTATTTATTACGCATTACAACACGCTGGGCTCATGCCAAGCACCCTTGTAGTTAATGCTCTCAACAGCTGCTCAGGTTGCTGTTGTATTCCTTTCCACTTACAGGTAAGGGGAACCAAGACAAAAGGGAGGTCGAGTCAGTTACTACAGTAACAATCCTAATGAGGAGTAGACGGAAGACTCCAAGTCAACCCTGGGGACCCTGGAACAGAAACTCCCCGAGCCTTGCACACAGTGTTCCCGGCCACCTCTCTCCATTGCTTTGATAAAAACGTAAAAACAAGAGGACTTCTGATAATTCCTTATTTTTTTATAGTTCTCCAATAAAGGGTTATGCTTCCCCAGAATGAGACATACCGTTCTTGGTTTTCCTTCTAGGATGCCATTCTTTCCTTCCCAATGTTGTCAGCCATTGCGTGTATTCTATTATCAGGTGATAAGAAAATCTCCTTTGAGGGTGGGGTGTGGCTCAGTGGTAGAGCCCTGCTTAGAATCCCCCAGTGAGGGGCTGGGGTGTGGCTCAGTGGTAGAGCCCCTGCCTAGAATCCCCCAGTGAGGGGCTGGGGTGTGGCTCAGTGGTAGAGCCTCTGCCTAGGATCCCCCAGTGAGGGGCTGGGGGTGTGGCTCAGTGGTAGAGCCCCTGAGGGCTTAGGATGGGACTCAGTGGTGGATCGCCTGTCTAAAATCTCCTCATGAGAGTCTGGAATTGTAGACCTCCTTTTGCTGTTCTGAAAACAGGGCATTTTGTTGTTTTTTCATTTTTTGTTTTGTTTTATTTTGTTGTTGAGACAAGGTTTCTCTGTATTGCTTTGGAACCTGTCCTGGAACTCGCTCTGTAGACCAGGCTGGTCTCAAACTGACATAGATCCGCCTGCCTCTGCCTTCCAAGTGCTAGGATTAAAGGCAAGCGCCACCACCACCCTGCCTTTTTATCGTGAGGCTTGGAGACTTAACATAAGCTGTCCAAGTCCAAACAGAATCAAGGGACAGGGCATAGCTCCTACGCAGGTCACCCAAGTCTTCTGAGGTCATGTCCGATGTATTTCACGACATTTCTATTAACTGATCTCTAGAACTGAGATGAAGGAGCATGCGCTCACAGGTGCCTGTGGCTTTCCCTGAGCTTTCCAACAAGAGCTTCCAGAGCCCTTTCAGGAGGGCAACCCTCCCGCCTCCCAGGAGAGGGGTATTTGTATCCAGGTTTTAGCTTTCACCATAGGGCTGTGAGGTACTGGCCAGATTCCTGCAGCTCGAGGGGAGGTGGGGGGGTTTTGGGGGGGTATTCAGAGTTTATCTTCCCAGTAGCTTTGTGCCTTGACTCTGGTACCTGCTGCAGGCCGAGCTGCAAGCAGCCTGGCCTAGTCAGCCTTATAAGTGCCTGATTTCCTCCAGGCAGTGGCTGCCTCGCCGGCCCAGCCACTAACCTCAAATGTTGGAGCTGGTTATTACAACCCACAGACACACACACACCAGGGCTGGCTGACCCACCCCTATCTTGTCCTGATCGACTTCATCTGGGGACCAACACCACCGAGCACAGGAATCTCATTCCAAGTCCCCATCCTTTGGGCTCCCGGAGTGAAGAAGCTTGTCCTGGGGTGCCCAGCTGTCGGATGGTAACACAGCCACCTCATCTAGACCCTGACCTGGGACCCAAGCTGGCGAATCGCCACCCGCTAAGGAGCTCATCGCCTGAGGTCTCCTGAACACTGTAGTTCCAGAAAGGCTGCAGGGAGGCAGCTGTGAGCCTGCTGCTTCTGGCTGCTTCAGGCTGGAGCCCAGGGCCTGGGTCGTGTTGCTTAGCAACGGGACCCCGTCTGGGCCTCTGCCCTCCCCACTCCTGTCCCCTTCCCCCATCGAGACTCAACCCAGCTCTGGTTCCAGAGCCGAGGGAGTGGCCCAGGGGGAACTGGTGTAGAGCTTAGGGGCCGCTCAGGTGTAGAAGTGGCTGCCTTATCTGCATGTGACTTAGGGACCAGGAGGGCCCCAGGCAGCGACGAGGACAAGTCGGCTTCCGCCCAGGCTCTGCCAGCTCCAGTTCAAACGAGTCTTTCCGGTGGGGCTGCCCAGCCTGATCTGCCCCGCCCCAGCCTCTCCTACCGGCCGGGAGACTTGCTGCACCCCGCCCAGGCCGAAGGCGAGCTCTGAGGTCAGGCACAACGTTGGACTCCAGGGGGTGGGGGTGGGGTGGGGGAATGGGGTAGGATGTGATTTTCCTACTCCTCCCTCCTTCCCATTCGGGTCCCGGAGCTCCGCAGGGTCACCCTGGTTAGAAACGCTCCCCCAGTGATGTGAGTAAAAGACCTTTCGTCCAGTTTCATGGATTCAAACTTGGGGAAACTAAGTCACCACAACCTGTCCCAAAGCCATTCATGAGCTAGCAGACAACAAAGCCTTGAAGGAGAGGCCTGACAGAGTTTCCCATGGCCCGGGTCCTGATATTCTGGGGCAGACTACCGGGGTCAAAGACAGAAAAATCTGGCTGTTTCTCCATTCTCTCGAAAATTAATAAGGAAGACAAGGTCCCTTTTCTTTCCACAACTGAGCAGATTCCGCCTAGTTCTGAGGTCTGAGGGGCGGGACCTCCCTCCTCCCAGCCTGGCTCTCACACAGCCCAGAAGGCATGGTAAAGGAAGCCAGGATTGGGAGCCCCTCTCTCCAATCCTCAGCGGGAAGATCTCTGATCACCCAAGTCTGTTTTTACCCCCAAAATCACAGGGAGCGAAGGCCCCAAAGGAAGGTACCCCGGAGCCTGCCTAACCTTGACTCTGACTTGCAATGGACCTTTGATCAAGAAAGTTGGTCAGTTTCTCAAAATGCAAAATCGATGGCGTTTCTTTGGGGTATTCTCTTTGCTGGGAACGAGAGAAGATGAACCATTTTCTTAAATTCTGTCTCGATAGCCTCTTTCCATTCATGATTCCCCTGCAGCCAGAAAGACCTCAGCAGCTTCAGTTTTATGACTTTTGGAAAATATAATTTTGATGAATTTTTATGTATTCCTCAAATTAGAAGACTCCTTAATTGCAGGAGAAAATGTTCTCAAAGAGAAAAGCCAGACTTTTAGAGTGGGGAGGGGGTAAGGCCTCCTTCAGCAAATCTCAGGGCAGGCTGACCATCTTCATTTCTGGGAGCCAAGAATCAAGCTTAAATGTCTTCTAGTAGCTCCAGGCCCACTCCTGCCAGTTAATTTGTGGTTAGAAAATAAGGACTCGGCCCAGCAACACAGGTCTGTAACTCCAGGCTTGGGAGACTGAGGCAGGAGGGTGGAGAGTTTGAGGCTAGCCTGAACTATTTACAAGTTCAAATCCAGCCTGGGCGACATAGTGAGACTTGGTCTCACAAAAGAAAGAAAATTAAAAGAAAGACAAGATAGAAAGCATACATGAAGTTCCACTGAAAGCCGCCCATCTTTCCAGAAGATTCTAACTGAAGAGGAAGCAACTGTCTTGGTTAAGTATTTTATAACTGTGCTTCAGTGGCTAAGGGGAGTTCTCCTAAAAGAATTCTACCTGTGTGAGAGGCACAATAGACAGAATATCACTGCCTGGCATCCCTACTAGATAAACGGATAGGAGTGGCCAGCAAGTGACTGATCACAAGAGAACCCAGAGAAGGCCGACATAGGATGCCTTGCGACATAGGATGCCTTGCTGTTGTCTCTCTGTCTCAATCTCTTTTTGTTGGTGGTGTGGGTTTTATTTGTTTTTCAAAGATTTACTTAAAGTTTGAAAAGATTTATGTTATGTGTATGACTATTTTGCTTGCATGTATTTCTGGGTACCATGTGTGTGTCTGATGCCTGCAGTGGTCAGAAGAGGGTGCTGGGTTCCCCTGGAACTGTAGTTATGATGGTTGTGAGCCACCATATGGGTGCTGGAAATTGAACCTGGTTTCTCTGCAAGAACAAGTGCTCTTAACCGCCGAGCCATCTCTCCAGACTCTCTTATTCCTGAAATAGGGTCTCTCACTGATTCGGGAGCAGGCTGGCAGCTGGGAGGCCTCGGTGATCGTCCTGTCGGGGTCTCTCAGAGCGCTGGAGTTACATGGAGGCATATCCACCTGTGACATATTTGCCTTTTTTTCACATGTGCACGGGGGATTTGAACTCAAGACCTCATGCTCTCACAGCAGGCACCTTTACCTGTTCTTCTGTTTCCCCAGCCCTGTCATTATCACTATCTTTGTCATGTAGTCATCGTCTTCATTTTCCTCTTCATTTTGTTGTTTTGTTTCTTCAAGACAGGTTTTCTCTGTGTAGGCCAGGCTGTCCTGGAACTCACTATGTAGACCAGGCTGGACTCAGACTCATAGATCCGCCTGCCTCTGCCTGCTGAGTGCTGGGACTAAAGGTATGCACCACCACTATCTGGCTAGCACAGTATCTTTTAATATATAAGTCAACACCAACTGTGATACCCAGCCTTCCCCTCTGAATCCCAAACAATTTCTCTCTCTTTCTCTCTCTCTCTGCCTCCCCTCTCTCCCTCTCTCTCTCCTCTCTTCCCTGAACCCAGGTGCTCTACCACTAACACACAACTTAAACCTGATTCTGATCTAGGTCTACCTAGATCAATTACCACATTTTTAGGAAATGCAAAATAAAGCAGAGCATGTTAAATGTCACATAGATCAAAGCAATCTATTGTAGAAATGACTTCCTCAACAATGATTTACAGGAAAATAATCAAGACTGAATAAGTGGTAAAAATATAGGGGTGACATTTATAGGCCACTTGTAAATTAGAATATTGATGAGATACCCAGTGTTAAATGATACGTCGTTAGTTGTTTTTGTTTTTTATAGTGGAAGCATTACGGTTATATTTTCCAGTCATCATTCAGAAATACATGCTAAAAAACATTTACAGGTAAAATGAGACAGAAGTATATAGACAGAAACACAGAAACAAGTCTCCAGCCTGGGCATTAGTAATCAGTATACATCAGTGTGTTGTGTTCTTTTCCATATTACAATGTCATTATTTCTTTTTTCAAGATGCTTTGCGTAGTTGAATGGTATTTTTAAAGATTTACTTTATTTTTAATTGTGTGTGTGTGTGTGTGTGTACACGCACGCACGCGCGCGCACACACACACACACACACATACACACACACACACACAGGGATAGCTCTATGTGAGTGCAGTTGCCCTTAGAAGCCAGTAGAGGGTGTCCGATTCCCTGGAGCTAGAGTTGAGGCTGTGAGGCTGTTCAGTGTGGGAACTGAACTCTTAAGTGCAGTACATGCTCCTAACCTCTGAGCCATCTCTCCAGCCCTGGTTGATTGGTTTGGAGATGAGGATTTCCCTGTGTTGCCCATGCTGACCTCAAACTCTCAATCCTTTGTCCCCACCACCCCAGGCTGAGATTAAAGATTTGTGGTACCGTACCCAGTCTTTTCAGGGTTCAATTTGTAAACCTATGCTGGAACCCGTGGCTGAGGCCTGGAATCCCTGAGCCTCTCCACAGTATCCACACATTTCCCTGTTGCATGTCCATCCAGCCAATGCCACTGGAGATCTCTGCTTGACCTAACCTCTTGGAATCATGGAGCTCACGTTTGGAGATCAGATCAGAAAATGGCAGAGGAGGAAGCTTCTAGATAGAAGTGTGGCAGAGCTGCAGAGCTATTGTTTGCTATGAGTGCTGACATGTAGAAAGATCGCCTGCACAGTGCCAGCTCATGTTCTCTGAAGTGAGATGACTAGGCTCCTCTACAAGGAGGACATACCTAGTCCCAATCTTCTTTGATAATTGCCCGCTGAAGAGCATGTGTTCCTCTGTGTCCACTTCTCCACAGAGCTGTGAGACTTTAGACTTCCTGCTGTCATCTCTTCCTGGCTTGAATTGTTGGTCTGAATCTCTTGGTTTTATTTGGAGACAGAGACACAATCACACCATAAAACTGGCAGCCTTCATAGGAAGTGAGTGATGTCTTTTGGGGTTAAAGAGTTTTTCTTTCCTGTGCATCCAGTTTCCTCAGCCATTTCACTAAGTGGCTTTAGCTATACACTTACTGGTCCTCTTGCCCAGCCCTGGTAATTGACCACACTTGCGTCTCAGAGTGTGCATGCCTGCAATCAATGACCTCAAGTCCCCTAGTCTTTGCTCCCTTTTGCTAATGCACACAAGGTCACGGGTATAACATGGTCTTCAGGTTGACCAGATGACTCGGATAGCTTTACCACAACAGGCCTAACTTGGCTCTGATGGCCCCTTTGCTCACCTGTCAAAGGGGAGCCTGAAACAGAAGTAGGTAAGCAGCTGGCTGTCTAACTTTTCCACTCTGCGGAGCAAACATTTTTGTGTAAATCTATTTATTCTTGACATCTTCTCAGTTTCTACAGATGTTCACACTTTAAAGATTTATACATTTTTATTTCATGTGTATGAGTGTTTGCATATGTATGTACAGCATTGCATGCAGTGCCTTTGTAGGACAAAAGAGGGCATCAGAGCCCTTTGAACTGGAGTCAAGGAGAGCTGTGAGCCAGGTGTGAATGCTGAGAATATAACCCTGGTCCTTTGTAAGAAAGAGCAGTGAACACTGTTAACGACTGAGCCATCTCTCCAGCCCTGAACGTTTGCATATTAAAGTGATTTATGAGACTTTTAATGTGTTAGTCAGACTTGGTGTTGCTGTGACAACATATCTGATAGATACAAATTGAGGAAGGAAACGGTTATTTTGGCTCATAGTTGCAGAGGATTTAGTCCACAGTCACTTGGCCAGATGTGGAGGAGAGGAGAGGACATCATGGCATTTGGAGTGTATGAAGGAAGTTTACCTTATGGTGGACAGGAAGAGGAAATGGGTGGAGGAAGAAGAAGAAAAAGGGGAGGAAGAGAAGTCCCAAACAAGACCCAGCCCTCTTGCTGGTGGCACACCTTTCATCTTGGCACTCTGGAGACAGAGGCAGGCAGATCTCTGTGAGTTCAAGGCTAGCCCGTGCTACATACATAATTCTAGGCCAGTGACATGGTTGGCATAGGGGGACTCGTTTCAAAACAAAAACAGAAAGAAAGAAAGAGAGAGAAAGGAAGGAAGAAAGAAAGGGGGAGAGACAGAGGGAAGGAGAGAGGGAAGAACGGAGAGAGGGAGGGAGGGAGACAGAGGAAGGGAGGAAAGAAGGGAGAGAGGGAGGGAGGGAGGAAGGGAGGGAGGAAAGAAGGGAGAGAGGGAGGGAGGGAGGGAGGAAGCCCCACCAACATGTCCCCAGTGACCCACTTCCTCCAACTAGACTCTACCTCCTAAAGTTCCCAGAACTTTCCACCATAGTACAACTAGCAGGGAACCAAGCATTAAATGCATGAGCCTATAGAGGGCATTTCAGATTCAAACCATAACAGTCAATAAAAGAGAACTCTCTAATGTTGGCTGCTGCGTGTTTGTTGACAGATTTTCCAAGTGCTATGTGACTCAGTCAAATACTTTGTCTTCTCAAGAGCCTGGCAAGCATTCTGCAAGGTGATTCAGAGCCTGGCCGGGGGCTGGGAGAGCCCGTTGTTCTTGTTATAAACCGAAGATATATTTTACTGTGGGAAAAAGTACTAGAAAGCTGTCTGTGATATAGTGTGTGTTTCCAAGGCTTGCTCAAAAGTCCCTTATGCTAATTTAATTAGAATCATTTACTCAAACAGAAAACTATAATTTTGTACTTTTTCCAACCAGTGTAACCAACTTATATTCTTTTTTAACCTACACAGATGGAATTTATTACTCCAAAGCCAATATCCTAAACTTTAATTTGTGCCCTAACCATCATTATAGGTGGAGAATTGTGCTAGAGGAGTATGTGGGAAATCTGCTCTTGGCTCTGGAACACCAGCCTGGATCAAACAAAACCTCCCACCCCGAGGAGGGAGGACAGCTAGACGATTTAAAAATCTGTTCTAAAATACGAGAGAACTGCCCGGACAGTGAGAACTTGAGGGGGCTACTTCCTGGAGAGATGAGAATCGAGAAAGATGACCCTCGTGTTTAGCTGTGT